GGCCGCATGCATGGCAGGCGAGCTCTCTACCGCTTGAGCCACATCCCTAGCCCCAGATTTAAGTTTTTATTAACAGCAAAAACATATTCATTCAATATCAAAATACAAAAATTGCAAAAACCTAACTGCATAAACTTCAACAACCTCAAAAGCAGGCTGATTGAAATCATCAAAGAGAAGACTTAATTAAACCTGGAACTAACACTGAGGTTAGAGCCAATTTCTAACTTTTGACAACAAATCGAACAAAAAGTTCCATGTTGGAAAATTTTCGTTCTCATCATTTTAATTACGTGTGATAATCTGCAGGTGTTCCCCCAATTGGGAAGTCATGTGGCAAATTTAATGGAATTATATTTTCAGAAAAGAATTACCAGTCATCTAAATCTCTGAAAGGTTAAAACTATAATTCTGGATTTTTTTTTTTTTTTTTGCTTTGCTCCACCTTTTTTTTTTTTCCAGTGTAGTAAATGCCCCAGGGCTCTGACCCAGCCTTAGAAAAACAGCCAGTAGAGTGGGTTCATGAAAAAGAAATTATCCAATTATGGATTAGCAAAACTGTAACAGTAATTCAGTGACAAAGAAAAGGAACACCCTGAAAAAGTGTGTATATAAGAGCCGAAATCCATAGGCTCTTCCCTCCACCTCTCGCATTCCCTGGGACGAGCTAAGCTTTGCAGGAACAACATGTCTTGCTCTTCTCGCATCTCCTCCTCCAGGGCTGGGAGCAGCAGGGTGTCCGCTGGTAGAAGCAGCGTCAGCAGTGGAAGCAGATGTGGTCTGGGGGGTGGCTCTGCCAGAGGCTTCCAAGGAGGAACTGGCAACTGTGGCCTGAGTGGGGGACCTAGCAGTGGCTTTGGAGGTGGCTTTGGAGGTGGCTTTGCAGGAGGCTTTGGGAGCTGCTCAGTAAGAGGTGGTCTGGGAGCAACCTTGGGCTCTGGGAGTTGCTTTGGTGGGGGCTCTGGATTCAGCAGCGGTGATAATAGAGGTTTCTACAGCCATGGAGGTGGTATGGGGGGTTGCCTGAGTGGTGGCCTTGGTGACGGGGGGCTTTTCTCTGGAGGTGAGAAGCAAACTATGCAGAACCTCAATGACCGCCTGGCCAATTACCTAGACAAGGTCAGAGCCCTGGAGGAGGCTAACACTGATCTGGAGAATAAAATCAAGGCGTGGTATGACAAATTTGGGCCTGGGTCTGGAAAAGATGGTTCTGGAAGAGATTATAGCAAATACTATTCAATAATTGAAGATCTCAGGAACCAGGTAAGATACTAACTGTGATAGGCTAAGTTTCTATGATGTATCTTTCACTTTTAGTCAGATCATATACTGTAATGAAAATTCAAAGTCAATGAGTTATTGAAAAATATAATTTCTTGTTTTTTATGCAAAATGGTACATGGTATGTCTTAATGAGGACAGCTCACTATGTGACATCTAACCGCATTAATTTTCTGATTGCATCTCAGATTTGAGTATTTCTCCATGAGGGTAAAATGTATATATCATGCCGGGCAGCTAACATGTATATATAAGACTGATTACAAAGAACCAATTAGTTGAATCTAATTACTTTATGGCTAATCCTAACAGATTAACACATTTTAGTGTCTTAGTAGACTTAAAAGAGTCCTTCCGACTATTTTTCTTCCTAGAAAATCTGGTACAAATACTGTAAAAGGAGGTAGTGAAACCAACAATGTTTAGCCATTGTTGTAAGGGAAATATTTTTTAAAGGCATTTTTCTCTAAGTGAAATTCAACCTCTGTACTATGTTCTGAAAGAGCTCATGGAATAACTGATCTTTCAAACAGCGAAAATCCACAGAAGGGCTATGTTCTGTGCCTATTCCTATAAATGTGCAAATTGTTACCTTTTTTTGCAGAAAGATATCATCCTAAATATACAGGTATCATTACTATGTAAGTTTGCAAATCCATTCCCCATCAAGAGCTAGTAACACAGAAAACACCTGCCTTCCCAGGCAGGCCTACAGACACAAGGCAAAAACCATGAGTGAACCATTCATTATTATCATCTTTTTCTAGATCATCACGGCCACTGTTGAAAATGCTGGAACCATTTTGCAGATTGACAACGCCAGACTGGCTGCTGACGACTTCAGACTGAAGTAAGACACATCAGACTTGAAAACAAGTGTGACAGGAAAAAAATAAAATCCAATCCATTTGCTTAAAAATTTTTCTTAATATCTTTCTGGGGATCATGACCTAAATTCAATTCACAAACATCCCAAGGGTAAACTGTAGAAACCATCATTCCAGGAAAAAAAAATAAAATAAAATAAAAGAGGAGACAAGTTAGGGATGTCAGGATTTCATCATAAAATTATTAGACATGATTAGGGCTAACATCAGACTTCTGTTTTTCCTTATGGGGGAAAATCATCAGAGAAAACTTAGTAACCTTCATTTATCAAAATGTGTAGAGGTGAGAACTTGCTCAATCTGTAGGAAATGCAGGGGATTCTTTGAAAGGTGTTGGGCCAGCTCACTGCTACCTTCTTGCTGCCCCTTTCAGGTATGAAAACGAGCTGTGTCTCCGGCAGAGCGTGGAGGCTGACATCAATGGCCTGCGGAAAGTTCTGGATGACCTGACCATGACCCGCTCTGACCTGGAGATGCAGACTGAGAGTCTCACTGAGGAGCTGACCTATCTGAAGAAGAGTCACGAGGAGGTTGGGACCAGCTCCACAGGAGTGAAAGCCCTGACTTCCATATTTTCCCCCACATCTGTTTTATAAGGATAAACTCAATGAATTTCCCACATCTAAAGACCAGAAAAAGAGTAATAATGAGCATAGTATATCTGAACTTGATTCCCGCCCCCCAGGTGTCCTAGTTTCAAATTCGCACTAGCTCTGCCCATTTTAGGAAGTTGTTGCTTTCCTATTAGCATCACGGTGATCTTTTCTCCTTGGTGGTAGGAAATGAAGAGTGTGCAAGGAAGTTCTGGAGGGGATGTGACTGTGCAAATGAATGCTGCCCCAGGAACCGACCTGACCAAATTATTGAATGACATGAGGGCACAGTATGAGGAGCTGGCTGAGCAGAACCGCCGGGAGGCAGAGGAGCAGTTCAACAAGCAGGTATCTCCTCTCTGTGGGGCATCTTGAAGCCTGCAGCTACACACTTCTGCTCCTTTCATGGCCTAGAAGAAATGCATTTTATTTCTATTTAGAGTGCAGCCCTGCAAGCACAGATCTCTACTGATGCTGGGGCCGCCAGTTCTGCCAAGAATGAGATAACAGAACTGAAACGTACCCTGCAAGCCCTGGAAATTGAGCTTCAGTCCCAACTGGCCATGGTATGTGCAAA